AATGGTTATGAGGTCGGTCCCAGGGACTGAGTCTGTGCTGAAAAAGTTAAGAAATTATAAACTATTAATCTAAACATGTAATGAATGCTATTTTTACACTTTTAGTTCAGTAGAAGCTAGCATGGAGTTTGAAAAAAGCTTAGCTCAGTGATATTATATATTACTAGAAGAAAAGATATTTAAGAACAACATCCACCATAACTACAGTCCTAATTGTGTTTTAAAGCCTGCTTTATCATTTTATATTTCATTTGACTTATGATATAACAGCATGATAAGAAAAGAAATGGAAAAAGATGAGATTCATTATTAGTTTCATTTTGCTTAGCAAGGCTGCTGGTTGTCAGATCATTTCTATATTAGGCCTTATTAGCCTAAGTAACTGCTTGAACAAGAAAATAAAATATAAAAATGAAAATAAACAGGTTTAGAATTTATTATATATATTAAATAAAACCTTTTGATTAAAAAAGTTGGCTTGCTTATAATTTTGGTTTGGTAAAATTTATTTTTATTTTACAACAGTGATTGCAAACATAGTGAAACTACATGCCATATTTTTGCAAATGAAAAGAAAAAGATAAAATTTATAGATTTTGTAGAATAACAACTTTATTGGAAAGAATGTAGGAAGACATAAAAAAATCGGTAATTGAAATTACAACAACAGTGAACAGTTTTTAATTGCTTTTTAAAAAACATGTCACAGTAAAACTTTGAGTTTTCAAAGCTGCAAATTCATACAGGTACTGCACATAACAATGAGACACTATATCTTGCATATGTTACATAATCTGTAGAAAGTTAATCTCAAATTTCAAACAGTTTCCTTCAGTAGATAAGTTTTGCATTACAACAGATACTTTGATTCAATGCACTTGGGAATTTAGGAGTTAAGGATGTCATGATCTGAACATAATATCCTACATCAGTGGTGAATAAACAATAGTTTTTATATTAATTTTTTGATGTTCAAAAAGAAGACATATTGAAAAGAAAGAATGGGCTAAAATAAATTATTTTCTTTCTAAAAGTATCAAATTGTTAACTATGTAATAAAACTTACCATTTTAAGTAAAAAACTAATTACAGCTCACCTGAAAAATGTCTTCAACTCAAACAGGCACCAAGAGTTTAAAATATACTAAATTTATAAAAATATTGTTGAATGTTTCAAATAAAAAATATTAAAGAGAGAAGTGAAAAACACAAATATATGGTCTCTAATGTTCGATAAACTGACTTTTTATTACAAAAATGGTATTGGATTACATTTAAGCAGTAATTTTAAATTTGGTTATAAGTATGTACAAGTCATCAATCAACTAGTTTACTGTGTATAAAAACTCTAGAAAAGGCATGAAATTTTATTATTAAATGAACATTTTTAATCACACTTAAATATTTATATATGTACCTCTTGTAGCTTGATGTCAGATGCCAGGAATGATTGGTCAAATAATTGCTGGACAGTTGGTAGTTTCAATCTATCATCCTTCTCCACAAACAGCTGGTACAAGTATGTGTCTTGACCTGAACTAATAAATTCATCAGCATAAGTATCACAGTTCACAGCATGATAATAAAATAAATAGCCAAGCTAGGCAGTAAAACAAGTAACAGGTTACGGTAAAATGAATAACAAAACAAGAAAGTGTTAGTTAATAAGTTGCAAAATTTTTAACACAGAGAACTACTAAAATAACAAAACTAGGCTATTACACAGTCTTAAGATTGACTTCAATTTCAAACAACTTGGATGAACACACACACTGTTGCACATATAAGATATATAAAAAGTGTGCAAATTACAGTGTGAGAATAATAAAATATATCCTGTGTGGAATTCATACAATTATGTGGTTTCTTTTGCCACATAAGGTGTGTTGTTAAAGTGCTAAGTTCTTCTTCTTACTAAAAAATAACATGGGGCCAGTAAAACAAAATTTGTTCAAATTATTATCAGTCTTATTGTGATCATAACACATCGACCGATAGATCATGCTTCATCAGTACAAGATGTTATACCATAATAATTGAAACCTCATAAATGGCTGAAATAAATAGCATTTCAATCTAAGCTTTGGGTGTTGTATGCCTAACCAACATGATGAGCTCTGGTATTGAGAAAAAGGCCCCTTCAGCAACAACAAGTAGTCAAGATGATATCATTGGGCCAGTAAATAAAATTTATTTAAAAAATATTATGTGTGATTGTGATGTAATGTCACACAAACCATCAATCTAAATAACTGAAATGTTTGAGCTTTAATTCAGTAGCAGAAGAAAACTAACTAACAGAAAAGGATTTTATTCCATTTGTGATTTTATATACATATTATCAATCTTCTCTGGAAGAGGAAGGAAGAAATAATGCTTCCCTCATCCTAGTATATCAAATGCACAGCTCCTAAGTCCAACTGAGAACAGGGAATAATACTAAAGGAATGGAAGTATTTGCAACAGTGTAGAATACAGTGGATGTTGACTCTCTTCTGGGCTTTCAAAAAAGGCTCTAAATTTTTTTAAAGAGTAAGAATGAGTGTGCTTCCTCTGTTCATGAGCCTACTCCATCTATAAAACACTTTGTATTAATTTTATATATATGTATGGTTTTTTGTTTTAATTTGTTTCCAATATTATTTAAAATTGAAATGGACTTATTCTGTTTTCGGGTTTCATTTGAGTTTGTTCATTATGTTTTAATTGTTGTATAATTAAATTTCTATTTTTTTCATTATGTTTTAATTGTTATATAATTAAATTTCTAATTTCATTTTGGATGCAAAGTATTTGTATTTATCACAAAGCTACTTAGGCTATTTGCTACCTTCCTTAATTTTAATCTACTAACCAGAGGAAAATCAGCAAGTCAACAGCACCTTACCATCCAACAGTCATGTTAAGATTGACTGCTACTCTTTTAATGTGGGTGAGAAGAATATTGTATAACATTTATTTTTTCTTTAAGCATTTTGCAGTTATAGAAATTATTTTTAAACATTTCTTTGTTTTAATTACAAGCAGTATTCTCTACATTTAATCATCCCAGGTCTTATCTTTCTTTACTTGATACAGACTTTTCTTAAACATGTTTTGAGCAAAAACATCTTTCATCTGATTTATTAACATGATCACCTATATAAAGGCACCAAACAGTTTGTAAATTATTTCATAGTAGTTTTAGATTTTAACATATTTTGAAATAATTTAATGTAAAACAGAATTGATGACATCTGTGGCTTGTTAACATGCACATCATGACCCAGGGGTATTCTTTTTGAGGTGTTTTGGTGACTGTAAAAAAAAAAAGCATTGCAAAAATAAAAGAAGAGTACTGTAATTGATAAAAAAGAAAATGAAAAGTCAAAATCAGTTTTTTATTTCAAATTGGATGAATTTGTGAGAAAATATTGCCATCAACATCTTCCATACATTGCAGTAGTTAACTACTTAAATCCAGTTAAACAATATTAATGAAATGAAATGCTACCAATATGAATTCTAATGTAATAAAGCTTACAAACTTAAACTTCTTTTGTTCTGATTTCAATTGTGATATAAGTTGTTTTATATAAGCTAAGTCATCACTTAGCTCCACATAGCTAACAACATTTTCTTTATGTTTCCCCAACTGTAAAGGGTTCGCTGGTTGCTTCCCATCTGTTTCCGAGCTAACTTTGTTTCCAGAGGCAGTCCATCACAGGAACAACCACAACAACTAGATATTAAACAAACTTTGCATCTGGGCCATTTATATTTGCATAATATCTGTGGATCATTCATCCTGTGATCAATTACAGATCCAGCAAGTGCCTTAAATCTTAAATGATGTCAATCAACTAAAATTTCATCTGTAAATTATACAATTCAATGTAAAAAAATGTACATATCAAAAAATATCTCAACAAGTGTTTATGACAAAAGAGATTGTGTAAATCAATGACTTCTAGTGTGAGGACCCAGCTTGTAAAATTTCAAAAAATTGGACAAAAGCTGTAATGGGTTAGAAATATCTCATCACCAGAAAAGAGTACCCCTGGCTCATGATGTGCAAGTTAAAATAATATTGATACAAATAATTGTTACAGTTGAACAATCAACTCTCTCTCACATTTTGTTTCACAGTTTTTGCTGTTAAAATGTACTACTACAAAACACTGAAGAAGCTGTCTGAAATATATCAACTTGCTAAATTTAATATTTCACAATGCACAATCCCCTTCTACAACAGCATAATGCATACTATATGACCTGGAAAAAATGTCTGTGTTACCTGGAAAATGCCAAATTACACAATTGTTATTTTTTGGCCTTTTACCCATTATTATGAAAAAACAGCTATCTATTTTACATGTGGGTTGGTACATCTTACGAGGATGTGGGTTTGTTTTCCCTGTTCTATTTGCGAGATTTCACAAATATTTCCCAAATATAAATTACAAGTATTACTGTATTCCTATATCTAGTTCTCAATAATGACTGTTTCATAGGCATTGGTGTAAAAAATGTAATTATTCTTTTAAAAACTAAAATATTGAAATGTATTACCTGAGTTTGAGGAAGGGCTCTGCTTTTAATATCTGGTTGAGAAGTGAGTTCAAAAACTCTTCAGGATCTGAATAGAGGCAAAAATTACAGTACTTACAAATGAAAAAACCAATAACCAAACACATCCTGTTATAGCATTCTTTGTCTCATTGCTACCTTAGTTTCTATTTGTCAATAAATAATATTCAAGAGAATAAGTGTTATCCAGTTGGCTCACACCAATGTATCAAATGTCGGTCAACAGTAGAATGAATAAACACCAAGACCTGAGACAACTATCAAATCCAAATATGAAAAACCTAACTCTGAGACACATGTACCAGGAACAGGTACACAAGTGACAATGATGACATCACAGAATAAGCAACTTGTTGCTTTGGTAATGACACAAAGCCTGGGAAAGTCAATTTGTCAATTATCCACAGAATAAAACTTGTATTCATCAGCAAGGCTCATTCTAAAGAGTTTTAGGTGAAAACCAGCATCACATTGTAACAGAAGTTAATGCACTGGACTTATGGTTTGAGCTGAGATATTATCCATTGGTGCATTTTTTTTCTTTCTTTTTTAATGAATGAACTCTTACTGAGGAGTCATATCTGGAAATCTTTCAAACACACGTAAGAATTTTATCTAAATCTTTTGATATTGGCACCATGCTATGGCAATAAGATGTGCACCTCCACATGTTCAAGAATTCTTAGATAAGATGTTTTCACAATGACTGATTGGTTGTCATAGAGAAATTGAGTAGCTATCAAGGTCACCAAACCTTAATCCAATGAACTTCTTTGTTTAGGGCTTCATTCATGATCGAGTGTTCAAAACTAAATCATACAACCTACTGGAACTTTGAGAATGCAATAAGATGGAATTTCATTCAATTTCCAAAGGTCGTACAAAAACGTGTGTCACTCTATGATTAAGAGAGTTTAGGAATATGTCAGTTGAAAATATTTTGAACATTTACACCCAACTAGCTTTAAAACTAGTTTTCATAACATTATGTTATAATTCAGTGATATGATAATACTACGTATTAATAAAATAAATAATTAAAGGAAGTACCCTGTTATTTAAAACTTAAAACTTGTTTATTGTTGAATATACAGAATATATGTGGTTACAATGTTTCACCTGGTTAACCTGGCATCATCAGGTACAACAACTACAAAGAGTGAATGCCAATGTACCTGTCTGCTAGTTTTTCATATTAACTAGATCAGGATTTCACTCTGTATATCTGACAATAAGCAAGTTTTAAATTATATATTAATATATTAAAGGTTTATAATGTAATTTGGAATAACACTGTATATATTGTATTAATGTAACTTTTTTTTATACATTGGTCCTTTACCTACTTAAACCTTTTCAAAGTGTAACAAATATATTTATCATTATAAGCATTCAACTTGTTAGTTCTACTAGTACACAATCTACAAGTTGGGATTACATATATTATAGCACCTTTTCTGGGCCCCCAGTGGCACAACAGTATGTCTGTAGACTTACAATGTTAGAAACTGGGTTTCTATACCCATGGTGGACAGTGCACAGATAGCCCATTTAGTAGCTTAGTGCCTAACTTCAAACAAACAAAACCTTTTCTGGACCAATACTGCAACAAACATCATGTGTGTTGAACTCAATGTATTTTATAAATTTATTACAACTTTAACATAAAAACAATAAACAGACATAATTTGATAAACCATAAGGTCAAGTAATTTTATCAGGAAGCAGTATAATCAAATTCTGTAAAGTAAACTGTTACAGATTTATGTAAAACTAGATAATGTCAGTTGAAAACAGCTTCTCTAAAAGATCAAACATATATTACTTTCTTGAAAATGCAAAAGAAATTAAAACATAATCAATATTGAGTGGACAAAAAATAATTCTTGAACATCCAGGAAATTTTAATCTTGCAGAATGCTGAGTCTGTGATGTACAAGTTACTTTTAAAGACTTTTCAGTATTACAGAAAATACAGCTAGAGATTGCTCAAAATTGTTAAAGAACCATACACACTCTAGTTGTTATCTTCATAATATAAAAGTCATGACAATAAAAGTTACTAAGTTAACTTAATGTTGATGACTGAAAAATGTCTACTTTTTAATATTTTTTTCCTAAACTTGGAATAATAATCTACATGTATATGACTAGAATGATTTCAGACAGATTACTTGACCACAGGTTTGGAAGTTAAGACTTGTTTACAAGATCATTGTACAGAGTCAATCTCAAGCAGATTGCACAAAGATGGTGACTTAGCATTTGTGATTATTACTATATTATTTCACTTTATTTTAATCTCATTGTTTTATGAAGCACAAAACTAGCAAGTATAGTTAGATAAAGTGATTATCACTGTAGTATTTAAAATGGTTGAAATCCCACCTTTCTCTTCACTTGTCAGTCCCCTAATTGACCCCAGTTCATCAAGTAAAGTTCTGAGCTGCATTACTCTGTCTGCTCTAACATACATATTCCTGAAACGAATGTGGAAAATATGTTTTAAGAAACAGTCTGTTTATGAAAACTGAATTAAAGTAGAAAAAAGTCATGTCTTTCCAGTCATTAATGCATTGATAGAACTTTCAAAAAACATAAGATTTTTAAGATTCACAGACAACTGACACTAAATATCCTACAGTATTAATTCCATCTTCTAATTCAATATTAGATATGTTATACAGAAAGAAACATTTGATAATTATTATTAAAAACATTTTAAAATGTGTTTTAATAAAATCTTACTAAATGAATGTAATAACATCTTAATTATTCTATATTTTGAATTACATAACATTTCAACAACTATCTGCTTAAAGCATGCTCCTTCTAGTCTTACCAGTTTGGATTTACATTGGATAGTTTCAAGTATTTTTCTAATAATTTTTTTTACTTAGATCATTTCATCATTTCACAAACTATGTGATAAACTTACTTTCGTAATGGATTAACAATTGATTCTTTCAGAACCCTTTGAACATGAGAATATTCAACAATATCATTGAATCTTGCAGGTCGATGAAGCAAGGAATCAAAGACACTGGTAAAAGCAAACATGGCAAAGAGAGTGGCATCTAAGTAACATGAATTGTGGTGCCCTTGGATTCCTTTAAACTTTCCACACATCATCTGAAGCTCATCAAGGTTTGAAAGAGGAGGAATATCACCCATCACAGAAGGAGAGTCAATACTTCCAAAAACTAAGTAATATATAAAAAAATCTTAATGGTAGTTTGTGGAACTCATGTTTTAAATGAGCTAAGTACTTACATAACATAAATAACGTGTCAACTAATACAAAGACAGTGAAATATGTAGGAAGATAATTTAAGAAGAATAAAAAATAAACAAATGACATCAAAGTTGTTTGTTCTTAACCCAATTAGCAACTGCTAGTAGCTTAACTCTTTACCTAAGTTGTTAAAACATTCACCTCATGTGAGAGAAGTTTCATGTTTGATAATGAGCAGAGGAAATAAAAGTAAGCAAACAAACTTGGATTATCACCTCTGTATTGACTGTATAAGTTAATGCAAGTGTTATGATTAAGATGGTTTAAGTATAGAATAAGTGTTAAACGTCACTATTTTTAAAAGCAATAAATTATCACAGGTTTGTTTACATAACTGTGTACAAATCATACATTTTTGACTGAAAAATCTGCTACTGAGGATAGTGTTTTAAAAACTTTCAAGTTGACTTATAGTGCAAAGGAACTATTTAATGTCATTGGATCTATGGACCACAACATAGTGTGAGATCAGATCATATGATATTTAAAATTTTTTTAATTAAAATAAGTTTCAAACAGATATATATGTATGTATGTAAAAACAGGGATCAGGCAGTACAGTAATAATAAACTTGTGGAGCCATGCACATTTTCAGATGTGGACACAGGATGCCACAACTGATAAGCAAAGTCAGATTGCTATGTATTGTCGTGTACATATAATGAAAGACTGTCAGAGGAGAGAACTGGTAATAACTAAATACTGAACATGCTCCTGGGACTACTCTGAAAAGATCATGTAAGTCATGATACTGGCCTAGTTAGAGGCACCCAATGAAGATCAAAAAGACCTATTTGGACCAAAGGATGAGCTTGACAACTCTAAGACAGTGAAATGGGAACACAAAGAGGTTAATGAAAAAAATAAAAAGATACAAGTTGATTCCTATCCTTGTTAGAGCTATGAGACAATATATAGGGAAAAGGCATCATGTCTCCAATGTCTTGAATGCTATGCAAAGACATGCACACATCATAAGCCATCAAATAACATCCTCTGTCCACTTCCAGAGGGCATCACCCTATTATATCAGAGGGTAGAATTTTGTTCAGGGCAAACATTGATTTATATGTAACATAACAATAGTCAAAACAGGATTAATCCATTCTCACATTATAAGGGAAAGCTGTAATGTTTTTTTTTTTGTTGTTGTTGTTGTTTTTGTTTTGTAATCAAATAATTTCTCAACCTGAGACCCCCCCTGGAATTGAGAACAGGGCTGTTGGATAGTATAGAAATAATTGGGTTGCCATACACAACATAGGGGTGGCCCAAGTGGTAAAGAAGCATATAATAGAAAATAACTCAAATGCTATGGATTCTATCTGGCTTGAAGAACCATTACAAAAGTAAACAGAATTCTAAAGCTGAAGATAAGGAAATATAATGTAACTAAAATTTCAAGAAAATATACAGATTTGTCAATATAACAGCATGAAAGACATCCTCTAAAGGTACTGCAACTGGCATGCCGAAGATATCATCAATTTGTTGTATAGTATAAACAACCTTTTCCAAGCCTTCCTGGAAAATTCAGTATGTGTGTGATAACAACAAATAGCCCTGACTGGATATAAAGAAAGTTACTTAGCCACATGATCTCCTTGCATGCTAAAGACAGACTACATGAGTAAGGTATCCAAAGAAGTTGTAAATACACAATATTTGGTAGAAACATTAGCAACAGTAGCTAACACCAACTTCAGAATTCATAGTGAACCAAGGTGACAGCAAGAATGTAAACAAAGTAATCTTGCTTTATGGGTGGGAAAGCAGGATCTGTGTACATTCTTCTGACACATACAGAATAAGTCACATGGGAAGTGGAAGAGTGGAGAATTCTGGGTATGTTGATGTATGCTTTGCATTGCATCAAGGACATTCAAAATTGAAAGTTATATGGTTATTGAAAGCATCAAGCAACTCAAGAAAAAAAACTTTTAGCATTTCAGAACTAAGTCTACCTGATTTGAAATCATTTTCACTCATTATCCATCCAAAGGTCCATATGTAAGAAAATTGAACTTTAGATGATACATCTCATTAGAAAGAGAACTGACAGACATAAGTATTAAAAATTAACTCCTCTAAGTCAAATAAATGATTCAATATAAATTTCAGTATCAAGCAATGCAAACAAGTTCAAACATTTTAAACATTTAATCTGGTTACACTAATCATTCCAATAACCCCTTGTCGCTCAAGTATAAAACCTAATTCTGTTACATATCATTTCACAGGTGATGAACTGAACTCCAGATGTGATATCTTTAACACTACTAATTATAGGAAACATACGTAACCCTAGAGTTTTCTCCTGTGATTAGATAAAGAATTAAATCTCATCAACTTCCCTATATCTAATTATCTAACTCTCTATCTATATTGATTTCCAACCCAATCTCTTCATGAAAAGTTGCAGGTGAAACTCTCCAAGATGTTTTTGTTATCCTCTACCCAATGAAAATGAGTTACTTCTGTAAGTTTAGAACTTAATGTTGTAACAGAGCACACTCCTGCTTACGTATACCATTATCCTTGGATACCATTAGCTAAGGTGTAAGTTAAATATTTTACTTCTCTTTTGAATATTAGAAAGACAACAGATATGAAAATAATAAGGGGGAGATGTGAATAAGAGACAGATGATTTGATAGCCATGAGATTTCACAGAATGTTTGTCAAAAGGATTACCACAGCAACTATATAGAACAGACAAGTCATATGTGTAAACAGAGAAAAGGACTGTCAATGATTATAGTGCATTACAACACCTTAGTTTAATAAAACAAATTATTTATAAGTTCCTTAAAAGTAACCCTAGTGCATATAGTAAGGAGCATTGTATGATGAACCAACTTATGTACCTTTCAAGTATAGTTTTATCAGGTTCTAATAATCCACAAAGTTATTTTGAAATTTTTCAAGACTTGCATTAATAAATCTTATAACACACCTCTTTCGCTGTAACATGCTAACCTTTATAGATATCACAGTAGACCTTTGAGAATTTTAAAAATTTATTAACAGACACTATCACAAAAGAAATTAAATCTCATACTTGAATTAACTTTTCTCAATATCAAGTTGATCCGAAGAACTTTTTATTCATGTACTTTTCAAAGGAAACCAACAACAAGAAAAATAAACAACTGTAAATAGAAAACTTAAAAATTATTATCCTATTTTAAAACCAAGCCATTAACAGTAATTTTTAAGTATCTTTTGGTCAAGGGTACCTGTCATAGGTAAAATTTCAGGGTTATGATAATAATTAAATACTGTATTTATCTACCAATGAAACACAATGCTCAATGAAGGCTTTGAGATGGAGAAAATAAGGTCTTTAAAAAACTGATTGCCAGAAGCCTTTCATTCCTATGTACCACTTGGTTAACATGGTTTAACTGATTCACATATGCAAATTATCATGCGACAAACCTCCATCAATAGACGTGCCCCAGACACACATGACTCCTGTGTCTCCCTCTATGCTATTCTACCTAACTATCACTTTGAGTTTAGGCAGAAAACTAAGCACCAGTAGACAGTGGGAAGTGTGAGCAGAAGTAAGTACCTAAATATATTTTCAGTGTAGGAAAATTATAACTTCCGACAAGGTATATTACTTCTGCTCACATACATAGCTAGAATCCCACATTCAATAGAAGGAGGTGCAAGAGAGAAAAGAGAGGCATCCGTGGACACCTTCATGAAGGAACCTTCAAAGAAGAAGATGATATGTGGAAGACTGCACTACTTCTGTACCAGGTATACTTTTCACCCAAATATGGGAAAGGTGAGACTGAGTTGAGCAGACAAATTTGAGGAGCACATCCCATTGGGGGTAAAAGAATGGATGTGCTCCAATGTGCAGAGTGGCTAGGGCATGATGGACCATACACAAAAGTCAACTGCATCCAAAACTCAACCACCGGGAACTGACATCCAAGCCGGGATAGGACAAAGATCATTTCACCACCTATTGGTGAACAGGGTACATGTGAGCAGCATGAAATATGAATAAAACCCCCTTAAATCAAACAGACTGGAACCACCTCAAATGCAGTAACATACTTTGCATAAAGACATCAAGGGGTAGCACAGAGGAAAAAGCGAAGAAACAACCATGTGCACACCTAAAATGAATTAAATGAGGGAGCAGGGACACCCTGAACACATGTGTGGGAGTTATGTTGATTGGTTAAGCTCCAAGTCAAAAACTCATCTGCTGGAAACCCACATCCATGTGGGAGTAGAATGAGGGATCCCAATTGAAGGGGTGAACTACATTTATGCCAGCACACAATGTGTGAGTACATCATGCTAATTGGTTCAGCTCTAAATCCAAAACCCAACTGCTGGGAACCAACATCCATGCAGGGGTAGAATGAGGGATACCAATCACATAATGTATGATGACATATGATGATTGGTTCAGATCTAAATCCAAAACTCAACTCCCAATAACCGACATCCATGTGGGGGGGGGGGATCCCAATCGACACAGCATTAGTGTGGACAATAAGGTGATTGATTCAGCTTTAGATCCAAAACTCAACTGCCAGGAACCAATTTCCATGCAGGTGGTAGGATGAAGGATCCCAATTATTTCTACACCAGCAGAACACCATCACCCTATTCTCAACTAAGTAGAGACATTATTGTTTATATTGTACATCTCTAATTTAGGAGTATACCTCCATGGTCCCCCACACCACAGACTTGGAAAGTGGTAAGGACTCTCTAACTCCACTGGAAGAAACACCAGAGACAGTGCAATGGGTTACCATAAAACCTTATACTCAAAAGCAGACCAAACCCGATATATTCAACCTAAGGAATGACAGGGATGGTCAGCTATCCCCTTCTGCTTTACCCATGAATAACAGGCATATTTATGAAGC